ACAGTGGCGGAGTCAACCCAGCGCCGGCGGGCGTCGTGGAGGGGAAGGTTTTTGAAGGTGACGAGGTACTGGAGTTTGGTGCGGTTTCCGCGGCGGAGGTTGCGGAAATCAAGGATTTGGTCGATGGGGTGGGCTGGACCGGTGTCGGTCATGACTGGAGGAGGTGGCGGAGGGTTGCGGTCCGGGAAGCTGGCGTCATCGTTGGGATGGAAGGGTTTGAGGTTGGATACGTGAAAGACGGGGTGGATGCGCATGTGGTCAGGAAGGTGGAGTTTGTAGGCGGTTTCGGAGATGACCTGTTGGACGGGGAAGGGGCCGATAAATTTGGGAAAAAGTTTGCGGACCTCGGTTCGGCCGGGGAGGGACAGGTTAGAGGTGGATAGGTAGACCTGGTCCCCGGCTTGAAGGATAAGAGGGCGGCGGCGAATGTCTGCGTATTGTTTTTGGCGGTTTTGGGCGAGAGCGAGGAGGGTTTTGGACTGGTCAAGGGCGGTGGCGATGGTTTGGAGAAAGGTGTCGACTGCGGGAATGTCGGAAGTGGGAGGTTTGAGGAGTGAACCGGGTGTGAGGGGGTGTTGCCCCGTGGTGAGGAAGTAGGGGGAGAAGCCGGTGGAGGCTTGTTTGGAATTGTTGTAGGAGAATTCCACCGGGGTTAAGTGGACGTCCCGGTCAGTATGCCGGGCGTGGACGTAGTGGCGCAGAACTTCTTCGACCACCCGGTTGGCACGCTCGGTCTGGCCGTCAGACTCGGGATGGAAGGCGGTGGTGTGGGTGACCTTGGAGCCTAGTAACCTGAAAAGGGTGCGCCAGAAGTGAGACGTAAATCGAGGGTCCCGGTCTGAGTGGATGTGCCTGGACAAGCCCTTATGGCGGAAGACAGTGTCGAAATATATGCGAGCAATGACAGGTGCTGTGGTATCATCACCGACTGGAGCAAGCAAGATTTGCTTCGACAGACGATCGACAAAAACCACGATGCCAGAGTGGCCACGCGTGGTTTTTGGCAGCCCGAGAATCAGATCCATGGTGATTTGCTCCCAGCGTTGGTTGGGGATGGGGAGTGGTTGGAGTAGCCCGGCGGGCCGTCGGTTGGTGGGTTTGTTGGCTTGGCATTGCGGGCAGCTCCGGATGTAGCGGCGGACATCGCGCTGAAGATCTGGCCAATAGAAAGATCGATTGACCAGATCTTCCGTCTTGTCCATGCCGAAGTGCCCGGATGCCTGGCAGTCGTGGTGTTCTTTGAGGACGCGTGTACGAAGTGCGGGAACTGGAGGAATGTACAAGCGGTCAGATTCGAAGAGTAATGTATCGTCAAGCGCGAAGGTTGCATAGGCAGTGTCAGCAGAGAGCATGGCAGAGATTGCAGTCTGTGCGAATGGGTCAGAGGTGATGGCCTGGCGAACAGCGGTTAGGAATGCAGGGTCAGGGATAACACTGGACACCGCGGCTAAGACAGGCTGGTTAACCGGAGGTTCCGCCTTATGGTCAGGGCGACGGGACAGGGCGTCTGGTACGATGTTGAGACGCCCTTCCCGGTACACCAGGTTGAGGTTGAACTGGGCAAGCTGTTCTTCCCACCGGTGATGTCGGGACTTCATGAACTCGAGCCTGAGGGGGAAGAGAAGTGGTCGGTGGTCAGTACTTACAGTGACCGGGCGACCGAGCAAGTAGTGACGCCACTTGTGCGTGGCGTGCACAAGGGCTAACTGCTCCCGGTCGCGTGCGGAGTAGTTCCGCTCGGCCCGGTTGAGCCGTTTGGACTCGAACGCGACCGGTAAAAGCTCGCCGTCCGTACCCTGCAACAGTACCCCTCCCACCGCAAAATCTGACGCATCGAAATCGACCGTACAGGGGAGCGAGGGATCGTAGGGGCGGAGAATGGGCGCGTGGGTTAGGGCGTATTTAAGTGAGTGGAAGGCGTGGGAATGGCGGTCAGTCCAGATAAACGGAGCGTCCTTAACTAACAAGTCAGTGAGCGGGGCGGCAATCTGCGAGAAGCGATGGACAAATCGACGGTAGAAACCAGCAAGGCCGAGAAACGAGCGGATGTCGCCCGGATCTTGCGGCTGGGGCCACGCATTAACTGCGTCAACCTTGGAGGCTTCCATGCTGACGCCGTCCTTGTTGATGACGTGGCCGATGAAGGTGACTTCCGTACGCCACAGCTCACACTTGGACTCTTTGGCGTAGAGTTTGTGGGTGCGGAGGCGGGCGAAAACTTCGCGGAGGAGTCGCTCGTGTTCTTCTGCGGATTTGGAGTAAATGAGTATGTCATCAAGAAAAATGACGACGCCTCGGTCCAGCAAATCGTGGAAGATTTTGTGCATCAAATCCATGAAGACGGCGGGGGCGTTAGTGAGAGCAAAGGGAAGCACAAGCCATTCAAAATGACCATATCGAGTGCGGAATGCAGTTTTAGAAACGTCGTCAGACTGGATAGGGATTTGCCAATAATCGGAGCGGAGGTCAAATTTAGAGAAAAATTGAGCCCCCGTGAGTTGGTCGATGAGGTTGTCGGCGCGCGGCAGGGGGTAGGCGTTCTTGACGGTGTTTTTGTTGAGCACCGGTAGTCGATGCAGAAGCGCAGGCCCCCGTCCTTCTTGGGGGCGAAGAGTACGGGGGCCCCCCAGGGAGAGTTGCTGGGGCGGATAAAACCCTTGGACAGTAGGTCGTCCAGGGTTCGTCGTAGCTCGTCGAGCTCAGAGGGGGATAGACGGTAGATGGGTCGGTTTGTGGGAGTGGTGCCCGGTTCAACTTCGATTTTGAACGGCATTCCCCGGTCGGGAGGTAGATGGGGTGGTAGGTCCTGAGGAAAGACATCAGGAAAGTCAGATCTGATCTGGTCGCATCGCTCAGATTCGGGGGCAAGTTTAGCACTTGGTTCAGTGGTAACGCTCAGCATTGCCTGAAATACCGGTTGCTGTTTCCGAATAAGTCGTTTGATTTCCACAGCATTCAGCAACCGGTCTCCGAGCTGAGTTTTCAGAGCCCTTTTTGAGGGTTTTCCGGCTTCGAGCGTTACAACTTTCCCTTCGTGCACAAAACAGATGGTACATCTGACCCAATCTGCAGTTTTACTCTTCCCCCCGAATTCAAGCCAAGGCAGACCCAGAATGACGTCATAGGAAAGATCCGACACCGTGAAGTGGAGATCCTGGGAGTACGTGGAGCCTATACAGAGATGATGGGGCGTGGTGGTGCGAGAAATGGACTGGGGGGTGCCGTTAGCCAGTGCGACAGACCCTGACTCAGACTGTAGGTCAACCCCCAGTTTGCGGGCGAAATCTGTGGACATGGCAATTTCCGTACAGCCGGAATCAATGAGAATCCTGCAAGCCTTACCGTTAACCTGACCGCGTAGGAACATCAGACGTGATGATTGCCAAGTGGACTTATCTTTTTCGGGCTTGTGATGTGGCGCATGATGCTTGCCGGGGGTGGGTTGGCCGCCAGTAGAGGTCCCGGGGCCGTCTACTGGGGCGTGAAGTTTTCCGAACCCCTAGGTTCGGAGTCGAAGTCAATGAGGTCAGGCTGGCTGGCGGGTGCCTCGGGGCGTTCAACTTGATTGACCCGGGGCACCTGGGAAGAGGGTTTGTGAGGGCAGTTAGGAGCGATATGGCCTGCATTCTCCTTTCTGCAATAGAAACATCCCCCAACCTTCATCAACCTAGCGCGTTCCTGAGGGGTTAGCGGAGGGTTACGTCTCTTTAGAGCATCAATCTCCATGGGGACGGGTCCTGCAACAGGTGGGTTAGTGGGTCTGGTGAGGATGGGAATGTTAGGTCTCGAGCAACGGCAAATCTCCCAGTGGGTTTGTTTAACCCGAAGCCACCGGGGCTAAACAGGGAGTCGTAGCGGTCAGCGAGTTTGACCGCTTCCTCAAAGGTCTGAGGCTCGCGCATGGTAACCTCCATGCGGGTCCTTGTCTTCAGGCCTCGGAGGAAGCGATCCAGGAGTTCGTCATCCTGCAGGGAGGGGATTTGAAGAGCTAAGTCTTGCATCTTCTGTGCATAGCTCCGTACACTTCCCTCCTGCTTGAGGTCAGCAAGCTGATCCCTGGCATGACGCATAGCATTAACTACTCTGAACCTGTCCAAGAGCTGATCGTGGAATACATTCCAATCATAGAGAGCATCCACACGTGCTCCGGCCTTCTGACAGAGGAATCTCCACCATGTCTTGGCGATTCCCTCCAGTGACGCAGCTGCAAAGAACACTTGCTTGTCAGCAGGTGTTTGCTTGGCCACGAAGTACTGCTCACAACCGAAGAGGAAGTTCTCAACTGCACCTGACGCCTGGGAGCCATCATAAGCCTTAGGAGTAGGAATTTTAAGCCTAGAGTCTCCATCAGACGTCACAGCAGGAGATGCATGATGCACAGGAGCAGGGGCAACAGCAGGAGTAGGGGTCTGAGATGAGAACCGGTGAATCTCCCCTTGCATGCTGGACACCACTTCCACCAGCTGCTGGATAGTTGCTTGCATGCCAGTCGCGGGGTCCTCTAGGTTCACTTCAGCAGAAGGATCATTCTCCCATGTCTCCAGCTCCAGCAGCTCATGTCAGCTCGGTGCAGCTCAATTCAGCTCGGGGAGAGAGGAAAGGGGGGTTCAGAAAGGTAGAAGGATCAGTTCCCCTGATACCAATGTAATCGGAAGCTCTTTTCACAGGCTAGGAAAAGCTCTGATTTTTACAAGGCATAGGCTAGCTGTCTAGCTGATAAGCGTCTAGAGAAGAAAGCAGGGCTCTTGTCAATTTTCAAGAATTCCAGGAATCCGAGAATGAGCTCTGAAGGTGAAGAGATTCACCATTTATAGGTTGAGCTCGGATCCTCAGATCCGAGCTCACGGCAGACCTGTGCAGACTGGACAACATAGCTAAGGCTGAGCAGCAAGAGTCTCAACGTTCCTATTGGATAGACTAGCCGTTATGGCTTAGAATGAACGAACAAGAATATGACAGATTTTGATCGACGGCTTATAATCGTCCAAAAAGGATATTGAGCTGCCACGTGTTACAATAGGTGTCGCTTTTTCCACCCGTCAAATATATCGCGACCTCCTAGAAACAGGTTAAGACATACTACATACTGGCGGCTGCCAGTGCCAGCGACTGGGTAGACCCAGCGGCTGCCACCAGCTTCTCACAGCTAGCTCAGCTGCGCTAGCTAACTGCTTAGCTGGGCCACCTCACAAGACAAAACAAACGAAGGTGTTGCAGCAGGCGCAGCATCAGGCGACATCACATCACAAGCAAGCTTTCCCTTGCCGCAGGTAAGGGATCTGGATTTGACTAGTGCTGGTCACATTCTGTTGTGTTGAACTGGAGGCATATTGAGGTTAGGCCGCAAGTGATTGGGCTGCTGAGGAAGATCAGACATCCACCGATTCACACACCCATTGTGTCTAAAATTACACTGGCTTAGAAGAGTAACAAAGAGCCCGCCTTTCAGCTTCCATTACGTCTAAGCTTGGCAGCGTATCGCTCTATTAGAAAGAGTGTACGAAGAGTGATCATCAAGATTACAGCTCAGTGTGTTTTCCTTTCTGGCAGTCTTTCAGGTAGCATCACTTAAACGGATCTCATTAAAGAAGGACTATGGCATGCTCAGCAGCTTACTGGCCGCAGCCCGCTCATCCCGCTGCTGCTCTCCAAATTGCTGGCCACTCCAGCTCCAATTTAGCTGGAGGCAGGTGGAGCGTGAATCACCTGCTCAAAATCCGCCCTGCTAGATGAGATAACGTTTCCAGTTTGAAAGCAGCGTCCGGCAGATACTCAGGGAGCCGCATTCACTCTTCTAAGGTGGGGCTAGTCACATCTAGACACAGAGCAGAGAAACCTCAGCTCGCATGCTCTCATATGCAGAGAAGTCACGCTCTTAGCAAGGAGCCTACTGCTGGTCACGTCCTCGGCAACCTGAGCAGGAAGCAAAGGCTGTTCACATTTTATCCTGTGGGGCTGGGATCTAGTCGGAGACGTGTGTTGAATTGCCACAAGTCTTTTGGCTCTGATCCTGGGGCGTCCGACAACGAACAGCCGCAACTTGCGGTGCAAAACTGGGAGCCCGGAGACGCAGGCTCCCCCAACCTGGTACGACCCTTTTTGGAAAACGGTTATGGCCTACGTGCCTGTTTTGTTCCTGATGCTGGTCGTGTCAAAGCGGGTGGCCACTGACACATTGATACTAATTTATGTGGTTATGAGTTCATTGCTTCATCAATTTGTGGCCGACTTTCAGAACGCAGAGTCTGTTCCGTTGGAACCTGGGCTGCCACCCGGCTGGCGCAATCTATATGACCCATACACGAAGCGCATGTTCTACCGCAATTCTAATAGTGGCGCTGCTCAGTGGGAAGCCCCCGGCGCATCCTTAATCAGCGGGGAAGTCCAGTCTTCAAACGCCTTGGTTGCTTGGAATGCGTTTGGGGTTCCCTTCTCGGCTTTTCTCAGGAGTCTCGTCAGAGCGACAACATGGTCATACGCGGTTCCTCTTATCGAACTTGGGTTAAGGCAGAGTGCGAGAGGTTATATGTATGGCCTTTGGGTGCCTGCAATTCTGGGACTGTCCTTCATCCCCCTCCCGCAGCCTATACCGCTTCTCATCCTGTTCTTGGGCTTCACACCAGCAACTGCACCGGCCCTCAACGGTCCGTTTGCCACACTCTGGGAGGTTTTGTTGTCCCTGGCGATTCTGGCGAGCCTCGTCTTCAAGTTCCAGTCTCTAGTTGCATCAGCAGGCGGCCGAGAGTCCGCTTATGGGATGCAAGAAGGGCCCGCCTTTCTGCCTGCTCCAATCCGGCGGAGACTTTATTCTTTCGCCTTAAACGGCCCCCGCTCTCTCATCCCGCTAATGCTGCGCAAAGCTCTTCTTTCCGTCCTCTTTCCCTGCAAGGAGATCCTTGCAGAGACTTGGGATCCTTTTATGCACGCTTTGCCCCTGGTTCTCCCTCTGGCAAAAGTTCTCGTAGTCGCGCAGCAGAGCTCGCGCCCTGTCTCTCCACGTAGGGTTCTGAAGCTGGTGCTCTCTTCTCCCGCCGTCCTAGTTGTCATATTCGCAGTGGTGGCGACAGCGCCGATCCGATTAGAGCAGATGAAGTCGAGTCGTGTGGTTGGTGAAGATGGGTAGCTCATGTTGGAACAATGGAAACAAGCTGGAAAGCTGTGTAGGACCTGAACCTAGACGGACTGGTGCTGAATTGCAGTTTGCGTTAACCGGACTGGATGGATAACAGATGGCTTGGATGTACGCGAACCTCCTAGTCTCGTGGCTTTGATCAGCGGTTATGAATAGTACACTGGATTAGTGAGTGGCATTGGAAAGACGCCTGCGCAGACATTCAAGATTGTAAACACGTAGGTGGACGGATGCTATAATATTCAGCTTTAGGGCTATACGGTCCAGCTCGATGTTCTTGCAATTGATTAGTCGGCCGGAATAGCTAGTGCGATGCACGTCATTGACTTATGCATGACCGCCTACATAATGACGGAGATATTTGGAAAGCTGCTGGTGGTGGCTCAGTTCGGTTTGGCTATATAGCATGCTCAGGCAATTTTAAGCTACATGCTCCGATCTAATTAAACACATGACTAGTAACACGTACTAGCTAGGGCGGCTTGTGCATCTTGTTGACCAGCTAGTGTAGAATATTCAATACCGTTTTACTCTGCAGTGCCACCTTGGAGCACCAAGACGGCTTAGTCCAATGCCAGCGTGATCAGCATGATTTTGAAAAAGGCTGAACGATGCAACGCTCGCGGTGTACGAGCTAGCTTACAAACGCGCAAATAGCTTGCCGCCCCATTCGACCCATGCCGGGTTTAGTACTCGTTGTCTCACTTGAGCCGGGAACTTCGGAACCGTACCACAAAAATAACCCATGATATTTAAGCCTCGTACTTGCACAAAGATCTCAATTCGAACGGTCAAAGGGACTTGTGCCTTACCGTACGAGCGACCTGACGACCAGGCCGCCTTGATGCAAGATTCCAAGAGTCCAAGAGTCCAAGATTGTAAGGAAGCTTTGCCTCATCTGTTGCACACGCATGATGCTTTGATCGATCACTTCGGGGTTTTGTACATGTTTAAATTGGTCTATATTAGCCCTTCGCGCCCTGGCCTGAGCGGGTTCTTCCACTGATAGCTGCCGCCCAAAGAAGCGCTTTTGCGAATCTCTAACTATCTTTCAGAAAGATCAATATGTTGATCTGTGGGCATTACCCGCTTGACATCCACGGCGAGATCGCCCTTCTCGTTGTCTTTGATCACATTATTTCCTAGAACGACGCTGCGACATTGCTGAAGTTGGCAAGGATAACCTGCAGGCAAAAACATGGATTGATCTGATTACGATGGCGTCCATTGGGACTCTTTTTAGGAGGAAGCGTCGCCACTACTTTTGGTATGATCACGGTGCCATGAATGCGTAAGCCGTAACATCTTTCATGGCACTTTTCGGCCTTCGAGGAACAAGTAGCTTGAGTAGTCATACGTCCGATACTGAGCGAACAAGTTTTGAAGGAATGGAAGGCCACGATCAAACGCATGATCTCTGAGCACATGATCTGTTTAATATGATGCGACGGGTGGGGATCAGAGCCCCATGACACTCGATTTCGAAGTTGCTTGAAAGACTTTTTCAGTGTGCAATTCAGGTTCCCAAAAGGTGGACGAAGCGACCTTGCCACACGTTTTGATGAGCGAGTAATCTATTGATGAGCGGGTAGTCTATGATACTACTATGTAAAGTGGTGAAGATCAAATCGTAGGGAATCAAAGCCCACCTATGTGGCCCTTCGCCTCATCGAAGTAGACCCCCGTCTCCCTGTTCCGCTCAACCTACTTCCACGTCCAGTGGTGAACCATAGTTAAATAAAAATAGATCTAACAAAATAGGTAATAGAACAAAAGGGGAAAATGAGTAGAATGATGATAAAAGCCCACATGTGTGGCCCTTCGCCTCATCGAAGTAGACCCCAGTCTCCTTGTTCCGTTCGACCACGTTCCCGTCCAGAGTCGCAGCCACGCCTTCTTCCACCGCTATGCCGAAGTCGTTTTGTACGATGTAATTTTCTATGATCACGTGTCCCTTCTCGCAGATGCGCCTCTTGGCGGCCGCTTCATCTGCAAAAGAAGCATGGCGGCTGCTGTTGGCCAGGACTAAACAGATCGGATTTGAATGCTTGTCGGCGATCAGCGATCTCCCACTCAATCTCCTCACTTTTTACAGGAGAGACAGCCCTAGAGACCAAGCAATCCGTGAAACCCTGTTCAAGCCTGTCGGCTTTGTGCACTTTTCTGTATCGAGAGTCGCTTTTGAGCATCCGCTATCCAAAACATTCTTGCTGGAAGGGCGACCAAGTACAACTTGCCCCGCTTGCCTGACACAAAGGAATCCAGAAAAAGGCTATGCCAGTCCCTCAAAGCGCGACTATTCTCTTTAATGCAATAGCAATCTCACCTGGTCCCTCCACTTTTGTTTTGTGCGGCCAGTCTAGTAGGATCCCATCCAAGTAGTTGTCCTCGATGCGGCACCGCGAGATGGTCGTCGGAAGCGCGTCGATGCACACACCGTAGTGTCCGTTCTCGCGGATCGTGCACTGGTCCACGGTCATCTCGGAAGCTCCGTTCGCCCATATCCATCGCAGATTTCCGTTCGTCCATGTAGTACCCCCGTATCTGTAGAACCGCGGGTTCGTCAAGTCAGCAACTCGGAACAGATTGTAGCAGCCTGCCAGCTTCTGTCAGGCGCAGGAAATTGAGCAAAGAGGTAGAGCACCGGCTTTCCGGTCGCCGAAAAGCGCGTCGATGCACACGCCGTAGTGTCCGTTCTCGCAGATCGTCCACCGGTCCACCGATCGACTCGGTTGCGCCAATCGCCCATGCGCCCGAAGCATTATAACAGATCCGAGAATAAAGCTTCAAAAGACCGCGCAGCATTTTCATCGGTCCAGGGCACCTGGCGACGCCATTCACAATTGGAAAATTGAGCAACGAAGGATCGCGCATTGGCCTTCTCCGTTTGACCAGTTAGTGCATTTGTGGAGCCCACCTCGAGAACAGATCATTGAGACTTTTAATAACTCGTCCCCCTTTCGACTAGACCCTCTCACAATCTGGGGATGAAGTCAATCCCGGATGCCCACGCGAATCCCCAAGCGGGCCTAAAACCACAACGGCTTGTGACCGACCAAACCAGTCGAGCATCGAACGTCGAAGGACTGCGCAGCAGCTCACCCCCGTTCAACGACACGTCCATCCCTGGCGACGCACGAAATACCCGAGGCGGGCCTGAATTCCCGACAGCTCCTAGTGGAACAAAACATTCAAACGTCAAAGACGTTAAGCGTGCACTGCAGCTCACCTCCATTCGACGAGACGTCACAATCGTAGATCCCCATGCGAGACCCAAGGCGGGCCTGGATCCCCGACAGCTCGTGATGAAATACGCGGCACTGCCGCATCTCGCCGCTCGTGTTCTGCCCGAATATCACGCCGCAGCCCCCGTGCCGGCCGGTGTCCTGACGCGCCGTCTTGTTCGTGCGCGTGGCGTCGCCCTTGACGGTGACGTGGTCGAAGACTGCCATGAAAGAATGGTGACGTCAGCAGGAAACCCAGAGCAATGCGCTCGAACGCCGACGGAGGAGAGATGATGGTACTGTCTTGTGTGTCTCTTGTGTGGATTTCGACATGATGGTCTTCGATAAGAGGGAAGGTGACGGTAGTGGAGGATGTGGGACCAACATGATGTCCTGCAAAGGCTGCCAAAGAAAATGTTGACGTCAGCGCAGTGCTGAACTGGTGAAGCAATCCAAGACCAAAAGGGCAAATCCTGAACTGATCTGTCACTGACCGTGTCATTGGAGCCCTTTGAGACTGTCGGTTTCGCAAAACAGCTGACAACATAAGTCTTCTAAAAAAGCAGAAGTGCAACAAAACCGTTGGGCTCACCGACGTTTTGCGTGCCGTCTCTGACGAAGACCGCCGCGGTCTGGTTGGCGTGGTGGCGGTCGGTTGAGGAGCTGATGATCAGTTCAGGGCCCAGAGTGAGCCCCGAGGCGGAGCGCTGGATCTGCACAGACACGGGCGAAGGCTCACCGAAATTGGCACTGGTTTCATCATCTGATATAGAGGCGCCTCAGTGTTGAGATTACCGTAGGACAAACGCAACTCGCAGAATTTTTGCGAATCGAAACCGATTGCATTGGCAATTTGAATAATGAAAAGACGAAGTTGCTTATTATTGGCAATCTACACACAGAAAATACATTTCTCTTTGTGGCTGGATGTATGGTCACTGCACGGACCTAACAAACACAAGCAAGCATCGAAAAAGAAGTCTCCGAATGACTTCCGCTTCTCAACGATGTTGCAGAGGAACCGAGCATGCCAATGTCGCTGTGCGCTGTGATCACTGAAACGGACTCTTATGTAAAGGAACTTCGTTTTCTTCTGTTCTTCGATTTGGTTTACCCTCCGTACTGAGCACAGCACTGTTGTTGGGCCTTTCGAGTGTGATTCCCAACACACCATTTAACTCGTTGCGAAACCTTTCAGGGACTTACCAAACCAGAGCGCCTGCGCATCCTCAACCCCAAACCAAGTCGGATCAAATTTGCACTGAGTCGGTATGGGTATACGAGTATCGTGGCCGTACCTCAATAAAAGCGTTCAATTCCCCCGGCGGGTTTGACAAGAAGACGCCCCAGCTGTCAAACAGGAGCGCCGGGGAGCCAGGCTTGCCGCGAAGCGTGATGGGCTGACACCAGAAACGGCACAGTGACGTCAGCTGGCATGCCAGAGGCGAGGTGCGACGCAGGGAGCCACAAATACCAGCTGTCAGAAGTGCGAAGTGCGAGACAGGAACGAACGAGCTTCCGCTGCCTTCAAAGAAAGCCAGTCCGTATCGGCGAGGGGCTACAAAACAAAGGCTTGATGAGTTGCAGGGACTCGGCTACCTACTGATAGAGGCGTTGCCACACGCCTGATGTAGGACAGTTGTCTGTTTGAGAAGGCCATTTTTCCGGCTACGGAACGGATGCGACCACACAAATGATTGGACCTCTGTGCGTGAGACGAAGGTGATTACCAAGCGAACACAGCCAGACAGCTTGGCTTTGGCCTAAAGCCTTAGCTTATGTGTAACGGCACGACTGCGCACCAACTTCTGGCTGCGCGCCAAACTCGCGGCCGCGCATCGTCCGTTATTATACGCTATCGACTTATTTGATATATCGAATCACTACACGACACGTGTCTGGGTTACTGCTTCACCGCGTGACCGTCCGATAAGACCCACGTGCACCGCGTACGAGGGAACCGTCCGATAAGCTTTCGAGACTAAGCTTATGGCCGGCCGAGCACCGAAGCTTCTAGGCCGAGCACCGAAGCTTCTAGGCTGACTGTGACGTTTGCCCTAAAGCCTCAGCTATAAAGCGGCAATACGATCAGAGAACGAAGCGGAAACTCTGTCGCCTATGCAGCAGCCATGGAAAACCTGGAAGCGCCCTCTTGCAGAAACCAGAGTTCTGT